GAGCTTACAGCACAGTTATTCTTGATCTTTTGTGTTAAGGATAAATTCAGTTCATTAGTTTTTAAGATATGTAGTGTGCTGTATGAAAATAAAAATAGGTTCTGCCAGTCTTGAGAACAATTGCTTATGTAACATTTCTGAATTAATTGTGATAAATGTGTAGCAACAGTTATTCGAGATCCTCGAGGGATTCTTTTAACTATGGGTATACTATTTTTCAAATGGCTAAGATATGTGTGGAAAGGAGTTGGATCGTTGGCTTCATAAGCAGGCCCACTCGGAATAATGGGATGGATGTCTAAAGGTGAACTATTTTGGCTAATACATTTCCTGTGTATTTTTGTGGTGTGTATGTTGAGGCCTTTCAAAGATTTGAATGATTTGTGGCACTGTGTACATGTACGGGTCGTGTTTGGGGTGCCATCACAATATTGGGTCGCGGACTGCATTCACAAAACTTAAATACATTCACAAAAAAGAATAACTTAAAACAAAATTAAAAAACACAATAAAATAACTTAAAAAGTGCACTGAAAATATAAAAAAGTTAAAAACAAATATGACAGCTGCTTGTTGTGATAAATAACGCATGCGCTGTTACATAGGCGCGTCACAGGATGGTCTTGGATTGGACACAGTGAAAGAGAGAGACCTAGCGACGCATGTCGTCAACCAACCGATGGCGGCCTTAGCAACCACGTCTTGAAATTATCACACGCGAATTAGAAATTTAAATTATAACTAGCTGACTCGGCGAACTTCGTACCGCCCAAAAGTAATAATTTGCAATAAATTAAAATTGCGACTATAATTTGAGATTTAAATTATCCTATCTCTCAAGTTGGATCGAACTGCACATGGTGTGCGAATTTTATTATAATCGGTTCAGTGGTTTAGGAGTCCATTGAGGACAAACATTGTGACACGAGATTTATATATATTAAGATTATAATAAATATTACAATTATTTTCTGACACTCTGAATGTGCTGCTGGTAGTGAAGTAAACAAAAATAACTTGGAAATTTTGTATATCGTCATTAGGCGTCCATATTTTATCCTGAAGTCAAAAAGGAAGTTAAAATTAAGCTTCATATGTTAAATTAAGTCTTTAACTACAGGTTAAACCATTGTTATGACTCTAAATTTAAAAAAAATCTCCGCAAATAAAGCAAACATGGTCCACATAGTTTTCACTCATTTTTGAAGGCATTTACCGCTCTAGGCATTTACAAAATACGTCGTTGCTCTAAAAAATGTGTACATGCACTGAGTGATTGCTCTACTGCTTCCTATTCCATACCCAATATCCTTCTGCACTCCTTTCTTTTGCTTATTAAAAGCGGTAGATACTCAGCCTTTTACAAAAGTCATACATATTTATTTATCATTGTATAAAGTACAAAAGCAAACTTTTTAAAATAAAAATGAGGTTTCTGGTTATTTTTCGATATAAACAATTAGACAATACTCATTAAATAACAGACTCAAAATTTTGTTTTCATTTTGTTGACTTGTGTTATTTATCTCTTTAAAACTAACGCAAAATTAAAACCCTCGGAGCAGAAAATTAATATTGGCCGATAAATGTATAGTTATTTGATGCTATTTTTATATACAATGACCAGCATATTCTCCAACGGTTTCTCATACAAACTTAAATCGCTTAGACCAACACATTAATACATTTCAACTTTACAGAATAAAGTTTATATATTACACACTTCTCGGTTCACTTGTCATTTGAGCTCATCGAAAATGCCTGTAATTTTTTTTAAACTTTACAATAAATAAACAAAATTGTATAAAAATTTGAAGCTTACAGCCACTAGCTTTTTGAAGTTATACTTCTTTAGGCGCGTTATGAAAAAATGATGAGAGTGAAATTTTAAGATGCGCGCGCATCACTGTAACACAAAATATTAACGACCAACTTCATGCTGTTACTTTTGTGTTTACCGCACATTAAGAAAATCTACCAACAAAATAGAAATAGAATCTCTATTTAGTGGGTGCTAACGACTGCATTGTGAAGGCCTATGAAAAGTATTTATTAATCTGGAACAACGGAACCAAAGCGCGATTCAGGAGACTACAGCGCCATCTCTTGACCATTGGTGTAGTGGAACCAAAAACCACATCTTTATTTTTAGTAATAAAGTAACAGTTATAGGTATTCATATTTATAATATCAAAAGTATTTATTAATCTGGAACAACGGAACCAAAGCGCGATTCAGGAGACTACAGCGCCATCTCTTGACCATTGGTGTAGTAGAACCAAAAACCACATCTTTATTTTTTGTAATAAAGTAACAGTTATAGGTATTCATATTTATAATATTTATCCACATGTTTCTAGTTTGTATATTCGGAATACGTGTTTGAGTTTCATACAAGTGCAAATCACATATGTTCTAATAAATTATATTCAGTAGCGATTTCAATTGAATATTTTGATTATTTATTTATTTTTTCAAATTAAAACTGAACTTTATTTACTGTGTCCTTTTCCAGACTTTTTATTTATTTATTGTAATTAATTATTTGCATGCAATTAAAAACTAATTTTAAACGATGCCAAAGAAGGATAACTTCTCACGCGCCTACATAAGTCTTACACGCACCCATTTTTTTTTCATATTTTGTCGACACTGCCAAAAATATAGGGGTTGATTTCGTGCATGGCTGAGTCGTGCCAGGTGATGCTAACAGTAGTACGGAGCATTCTATGACTCATCACCATAAGAATTTGTAGCCTTACAGACATACCGTTACTCAGAGGGTTCAGTAGCTCTTGGTCTAATAGAACTTTTGTCTTCGATTTCTAAAATATTTGGACGCGCTACGTCAAATCGCTTAAATCCTATTTCGAAAAAACATAATAGACGAGAACCAATCCACGCCACAATTTTTTAATTAATTATTCTAATCCTATACAATATCATTCTTAAATATTTAACTCTGTGTCGATAACATAAATCTAAAAAAAGTAAATACTTGCACTTTACTAGGCATGGAAATCGATATCCACATTCATTGGAAGGCACACATAGATAAAATTAAATCGCGCTTTATGAGTTAAAAAAAAAGCACGGATAGAAATACTACAATATCAGCATATTACGCTTACGACTATTCTTGGTTAAGCTATGGACTTATTTTATAGGGAAATACACACGGCGAAAATAACTTTCAGGCGTTATTATAAACCTTAACACACGCAGTCTTAACTCCTAAAATTGGTAATCCGTGAGGGAGCGTATGGAAGGCGTCATCCGGGCAAAGGCTTAACACTAGGTTTTAGGTTAGTTTGAAGAACCTTTTTGTATGTTTTTTGTGTAATTAGTTTGTTTTTAATTAAGGATTTTTATTGTTTTGTAAACTTTATTGTTTTTTGCACTGTTCCAATAAAAAATGAAAATAATTTAATTGTTTTTGTAAGTTCATGTAATGGGCTTTCAAAAGACACCAATATTGGTGGTTGTAGATGCGCGTATTAAAGGTTAATAACAATTGAAAGTTATTTTCGCGGAGGTGTGATTTTTTTGACGCCGCGTGTAAATAAATAACTTATTTTTAATGCAAAAAAAATATTATACTTGCATATAATATTGAATAGAAAATATTGAAACCTGTAGACAACACTTCAAACAGCTTACCCTTACCGGAATGTACATTTTTGAGTTGTGTAAATTTGTAAAAAAACACCATATGCTTTTCAAAAGCGCAATGAAACAGAGCAAACATTATACGCCACGAAAAAACTTATTACACAGCCTAGCTTGCCACATATACGTATTCATATGTACTAATCTAGTCCGCATGTAAGTGCCATGTGGATATACAATAATTTACCTATTGATTTAAGAATGGAATGTAATAATAATACATTCACAAAGAAATTAAAGAATTTATTAATTATGAAAAATTACTATAGCCTAAATGAACTTCATGCTGGCAGAATGACATGATTTGAAATTTGTTTTTTTTTATTTATATTGTAATATGTATTATTAGGCTGATGATGATGACTCATTTGTTAATTGTTGTTTTATGTTTTAATGTAATAAATTTTATGAGAGAAGAAACGATTAATTGAAATGCGATCATAGCATAAAATTAAATGAATTTTATGCAGACAGAAAATGGGATTTGAAATTTGATTTGATTATTTATATTGTATTATTATTAGTTTTATGTCTTGACATTTTTTACATTATTGATTTATATTGTAAAGTAATAAATTAAATGATATACAATAAATTTCTATGATTATATCAAATGTTTGTAAAGAAGATTTCAGTTAATTGGTATATTATGAAAAAAATTAAAAAATGTACGATAATCAAAACATGATGTGCTGTTATGTACGAGTAATTAAGACCTATATTTTACTCGTGTTTTTCAAATAAAGATACTTACTTACTATTCAGATCGTATAGTATATATATATATATATGTGTGTGTATATATATAGTATATATATCTGGTCTGGATCACTGTCAAACAATGACCTACCCCTATAGTAATTTAATAACATAAATTGCATCCTGTTTTTACGAGTCCCCGATATACCAGTTACTCCTCCGCGATCATGGCGCTTGCAAAAGTGCCTAAATATAGGAGGTTCGCAAAAAAAAATACTTGGTGACAATCCCATTAACAATATAAATTAAGTACTATAAGTATCTAGTGTTAATGACCATGGAAGTTGACAACAATATAATGACCCAACACATATTATGTAGTTAAATTAAATTGATTTCTATCTGATTTCTTCTAATAAAGTTTGACTTACGTATTTTAAATTTTAATATCACTGGGAACTTAGTAAAGTATAGTTTCTTACAAGAATGAAAGCTTTAAATAAAGCTTTTATTTAAATCAATCTCCGGTGATATTATTGATTAAGGAAAAACATCTTAGTGTAAAGTTATTAAGTTGTAGTTTTCTTTTTATCAAAAAAAGGAACATATAACTTTTTCTTTTTAAGTTATTGGTGTACCAATAGTTCTCTTAAACCAGGTCGTTTTGAATATTAAAACAGAAATAAAACTATGTGCATAGTTGCATACTATTAACATATACCTATAATTACACATTGCAGTCGTATTTATGCAGTAATGTCATATCGCTAAAAATGACTCCTGAGTTCCATGGAGCTTGAGTCAGAGGAGCAGGGATCCTGGAGGCGCGCGAATTCGCGGGGTAGCGGGGCCGAGGGCGGGGCGAGGGCGGGGGAGGGCCGCGGGAGTGCGCTCGTCTCGAAATAACCGCGTATTTCGGTCGCACGCCCCCCACCCCGCCGGCCTGCTGGCGCGCGCGCACCGAGCGCCGCACTATCCGCTAACTATTTGCAATCGACCGACGTCTTGGTTGTTGGACTTGGGTTATAATGACTTGACTTCTGCTAAATGAACCCGTGGACTAGTACAAGTTTTGAACAGTGGCGTATAAGTTATACGGGTGGCGAGCGCTACCGTGCGAGGACATAGCGTCGAGTGAGAGTTTTTTTGTGCGTTGTGCTGCGGTGGCAGCAACATGGACAAGCAGTCGAGGTGGTCGTCGGAGCAGCGCAGCGAGCAGCGCAGCGTGCAGCAGCAGCAGCACTCGGAGCGGCGCGAGCATGTGGTGCAGCAGGAGAGCGTGCAGCGCACCGAGCACCACTACACGCGCCAGATGATGACGCAGCAAGGTACGGACGCAGGGACCGCTGCCGGCGACGGCGACGGCGATGCCGTAGCGGCCCGTCTCTGGTTTCCCTGCTCGCTTTATTTGTGCACGCGCTTTCCCGAGCGCCTATTCTGGGAGCGCGTGGGCGCGCGCCGGGAGCCAGGAATGCGCCACTGCGCGCATATTTCTCTCACTTGCTTAAATTTCTATCAATGATATGACTGACCGACCAGGACGGATCCGCGAGCTCCCGCTTACATTTCGTCGGCGCAAGCTCCGGTCTTAAATGGTCAGTCGGCTCACTGAGGCCACAGCGAACTCGTACACATTGAGAACTTGTTTACTTATAAGGTACAAATTCGTCTCCTTACATGGAGCGTATACGAATAATGTTCCCATTCAAGGATTATTTTCTGTACGCTAAAAACTTTCGGCTTGCGAAACTGGGTCGGCGGCGGGGCGAGACAAGCCGCGACGTAGGGACGGACAGCCGGGGGTCGTAGCTGGTCTCGTCCCGTGCGTGCGTTCGTTATGCATGGACAAACAAACGAAATGGAAATTTGAAATCGAATGATGGTACACGGAGCATTGTTGCGTGTCACCAGGAGAGGTTCACGTAAAAACAACACAAACACGAAGACTTCTCCGGCTGCTGGCCGACGAGCCAACGCAATTTTCGCTTGAAACACGAAATGATACTCGTGCTAAATATAGTGACAGTTCAAAACGTAATGTTCCTTTCTCACGCCAATAATTTACCTATGATTTAACATGTTCTTCTCATTGACGATTACAAATTAATAGTAATTAACATTTTGCTTAGAACACTCAATTTATTTATTCGAGAAAGGTCATTGTTGTAAAGCAGTTGTACAAACTGAAACAACATCGCGTGAGTCAACGCCAGCCAAAAGTTCACCTCCAGAGAATGCGGTGGAATGGATAGTGTCCTAACTCAAATATTTGTTCTACGATCAAAACTACACTAGCATTATACATTTTGTATAATATCGCATAACTGATGTATGAAAAACATGCTACAAATAGTTTGAAAACTCTACTTCAATAATTGATAAAAAAAATCTATTAATTTATTTGATAAAATATGACAGAGATGAGATTTTTTATTATAACAATTGTTCATTAATTATAATACGACCATTAAATTTAAAATAAATAGTATTTTTTTGTTCCCATGAAAATTTTAACAGTAGAGAAATGGGGTTTACACTATAAGCCTTCTTTACGGTAACGCTGATGTCAAAAAAACTTCAAAAAACTTCGTGAAGATGTTGTACAGTGACTGTAACACATCGGCATTACCTCTTTTTGTCGCTTCACTGTAATAATCAGTTTTCTATGCGATAAGTTCTCAGTCTATCGACATTATAATAGCACCACACGGCGGTAAAAACTCCGGCACATCGATTTCACTTTTCTCGTTTGTTTTAGAAAACACAATAAAATTGGCTTTATGCATTCACTGCATATTATCGTGTCTGTGACAGCTATGTTTATTTGCCAAGCGAATTTTCAAGCAATGCGCATATATGTTTTATTTATTTTTAAGTCTCGTACCTTAATATCTCATCACAAGCAATCTTAACTTTAAGGTCGCTTTTGTAGGTGTAATATTGACTTACTTGGTTTAAAAGAAAAATATTATGCAAAAACGTTTTTATGTATTTCATACCAAAATTTGTAAGCGAATGCACGCAATACGCACCGACAAAAGCGATTGTGTACGAATTTGTCACTCTAATCCTGTCATTTCTAACAACATTTATTCATTTTTGTTTATCCCTCAAAGCCTAAGAAATCAATTGTTTTTATTAACAAGAAACTAACAATTATCATTTCTCATTTTTTTTTAAAAAACACTATGTACTGAAATCTGTTCATCAAAACTTTTAACGTTTTATGAATGAAGCTATAACTTACATTCTAAACTATCATTTTCCTTTTAATTATCTGTTGAGGGATCCCATTAACAATAATTGTTGTTTAGTAGAAAGATTGGATAATTAGATAAGTATGTCAGTCATGAAATAAGATTTTAACGAATCATTACCATCAGATACAAATAAAATAATTATTTTAGAAGCCATCTTACCTACTTCCTGTTGTTTTGATTATAGTACTGATGAATTTCACCATCACGAGATAAAGAAAAACATAAACATAAAATACATCATTGTATGCATTAAATAGAAAAATATTTCTGTTTATTTTCTAATTTAGAAATACATGATAGCAAAATATTGTTTCAAATTTATTTAATTGTAGCGTTCCAAATATTTATCTTACGAGTGACTGAAATTTTAGTATTAGGTACTCGTCTCAGAATAATTTATTGAATAATAATTGTGTATTCTAAATTAAATATTATATATTTATCAAGAAGTACTAAATATAGTTGAACGCAATTTGAAATTTAAATGATGTAGAAAATAAATCGGTGTCTGATAACGTAAAGTAACCTATTTTGTTGATCTGCAGTGTTAATTAACTTTATTAAAGAGCTATTCTTAAAATAAATAAAACGTTAGATCGATATTTCTTTTGGAGGCACATTCATTACGAACTCGCGGTGATTATACCAATTAATCCAGTTTCGTATGTATCAGTCAACGCACGCGTCTCTTAGTACGAGCGGAACGCGAGGTAATCACCCCTACCATAGAACTTAGCTTCGAAAACGCATTCTAATAAGTACGATATAATTTTATGTTTTCAATCCAGAAGTTTATATTTTTATACATTAATATTCCAACTTAAATCAATTAATTGGTCACTAACAAATAACCTTGCGAAATTTTGGTTTATAAGCTTTTCGTGTTTCATAATGATCAAACAAAGATATACGAGGCAGATTTACATGAAAAGTAAATTAGCAAATGTTATATTAAGCTTTATCGATAATACCTAGGTTATCTTAAGTCTTAGGTTAATTCTTAAGAAACTTTTGAAATTAATAGAAATTTAACTAGCCAAAGATTAAAAAAATACTTTTTTGCCTTCTTAACCTTTGTGACAAAGGTTCAATATTATATATGATACATTTAAAAATACTAATTCTCACCACCATGACCTGAGTACATATGATAAGTTTCTTAAACTTCGCAATATTACTACATTTTTACTTTAATAACTCTCTAAGTTCAGCACAAAAACTCAGGAGAAAGACTCCCCATCCTACGACTGTACTAAAACAAGATACATGGTATCAATCCCGCTAATCTTTTGGAAACTATAATGTTAGTGACCATGAAACTTTAAAACAATATACTTTTATATGTATCAGTTTATATAACTTAACACAAGCCTTACAGAGCTTACTTTGGGACTAGGCTAGGTGCGCGTGTTCAAAGTTTTTATTTTATTCCACACGACGGCAGTTCGATGGTAGGGGACGTTGCGGCGGCGTTAACTGCCTTAACTGTAGCCGGTCGCGGTGAGCGCGCGGCCTCATCTTGCGCGCCGTTGCTTGCGCATGCGCCACCAAGACACTATCTGTGCATCACACATCCACTTATCTATATTATCTGACAGCACAAACTACTTACTAATAGATGAAATTAAAGCAAACTTATGCTAGCAATGGGAATTTGGATGCTCGATGGAGATGATTATCCTTAATTCCTAAGTAAGAAAATACAAACACGTTCCTAAGAAAAATGAATATGATGATATTTGTATGATAGGTACTACTTAGAGAGTCTTTTAGGTAATGAAGAAAATAAAAATTAAAAGATTTTAATATACATACTCAAGAACGTAAACACTGCGTCGATGCTGCGATGATATCCGAATTTTCTGATGATCGGTGGCGGATATTCAAAACGTTTTTTTCCAAGTTTTTTGGGAGTTCAGTTCAGTCGGTACGTTACGGTGGTTTATTTTTATTTATTTATAGAGATTCTTCAAACTGTACTGTAATCTTCTCAAGACGTAGAGACTAGACGAGACGAAAGATGTAGAAAGTAGAGATTTTAATAAAGAGTACCAACCCGATTTTCTAAATTTCTTCTCTTTAGATCTCTTGAGAATTAAAAAAAACTCATACAAAACTTGTCCTTTAATTGAGAAAAAAAAATCAACATGCAGATGTACTAAGACTGATTCCATATTATTTATTTATTTTACAGTATTACAATATATTGAAATTAAATTACAACAGCTTAAATACTACCTAATGTATAAAATTTAAATTCAAATTATCTTAACCTACTTACGAATAATATTTAACAATATATTTACTAAGGTATATTCATTATACCTACATAATATGTAGAGTTTAAAACAGTACCAAAGTCAATCTCATCATTGTCGTGATATTTTGTTGTTGTGTCGTACCCTGGATGGTCTGCCAAAATAGCAATAAAAACTTAAAGTAATTAAACTATTCTTTATAACCTGTTCACTTTAGTTTTAATTTTAAGTAAGAATTTAACTATCGTTCGCTGTTACTGTTACTTACTCTAAGCTAATTTCATTACACGAATGACTTTTCACAAAATTGCCATGAACTCGATCGAATTACGACCAAAAAAAGAACGAATCTCTAATAACGGTTTTCGATTGTTGGTCATTTGAATCCCGAACTCTTGCCCAATCGAGTCGCACGACTCCACTCCTGCGCAGCCTCGCGACGCGATGGATGCGACCAACTACGGAACCTCCATTGTTTATCACTACGCGGGTCGTTCACCCCGCTCCTACTTTACTAACTAATGATCGCGTACAATCGAGATTCTGCGATTTCCGCACGTCACGACTCGACAATCGAAAGTGTACTCGCGTACGCAAGGGAAAATGATACATGATATACGTATGCGTTTTTATATGAGTAATCTTCGGAGCAAGCGGATAACAGTTACATTGGACATTGCCACTTTCACCGGCTTCCATGCAGTACGGTTCGCGTTTACATCATTACCACACGCGTCAATTAGCCCACGAGACGCTGCATAATCGGATAATTATTCGAGCAAACACCGTGTACGGCATATTGGGGAGTGA